ACATATGTATATATCAATATGTGTATGTGTCTGTATATGTATAGTGTATGTGCATGTGTATGTGTATGTGTTTATGTATATGTATACATGTATGAATACAGGAATGTGTACATGCATACGTGCATGTCTACGTATATGTATGTATATGGGTGTATATATATATATATATATATATATATATATTCACACGTACATGCCCATGAATAGGTACATGTCAATTTTTGTATATCTATATGTATATGCAAACGCATCTGTTTATGTGCATGTACTCATATACGTCTGTCTATATGTATACGTTTACGTATTTGTTTATGTATGTGTAGTGGTATGTGTGTATGTATATGCATGTGCATACGTATGTGTACGTGTACGTGTATATGTATATGTATAGGTCTATGTAATATACAATTATATGATATGTTCCCCAATCAGAGCTTGCCTCTGTAGGGGTCCTAGCGGATTCATATGGTTAGGTTAGGTTTGCCGCCGACTTTCGCCGCACGCCCGGGTGCCCGGGTGTCCGGGGGTGCCCGGGTGCCCGGGTGCCCGGGTGCCCGGGTGCCCAGGCGTGCCCGGGGGTGTCCGGGCGCCCGGGGGTGCCCTATAGCCCTATAGCCCAAAAGCCCTATAGCCCTATAGCCCTATAGCCCAATAGTCCTATAGCCCTATAGCCCTACAGCTCTTTAGCCCTATAGCTTTATAGCCCTGTAGCTCAATAGCCCTATAACCCTATAGCCCCCTAGCCCTATAGCCCTTTTTTTATTCCCCCCCCGGTATCATTCGTGTATATGTACACATATGTACGTGTGTGTATGTATGTATAGTTGTATTTCGATATATATATATATATACATTCATATGACTATTTGTGCATGATTGGTACATATATGTGTATACACACGTACATCTGTAAGATGTATATATATACAGATACATACACACACGTGTATGTCACATTCTATTGCGTTGCGCTCATGGGTAATTATACATATTCATACCCGTGGCATATATGTTCAGTGGTCAAAGCCAGCTGCCTGGAACCCTCATGCACGGACCAGGGCCCGGGGGGCGGTCCCGGAAAAAGGACCAAGACGGGCCCCCAGAGGGCCTCAAGACTGCCCAAGTCAGCACCCGGGCGGCACGAGAGCCCTCCAGGACGCCCTAAGGTAGTTCCCAGACATGTTATCGCGATGGCTACAGAAGCTCCACGAGGTCCCAGAGACGCCTTTCGAGAGAACAACATCCTTTAAGGCCATAGGGGGAAATATGATTCTGGCTTTCTCACCGTTTCACTGCCGATACGTTTCCGACGTTTGAACATGACATCCGAGAAGCGCCCAAGAGGCTTCGACGACGCTCACAATATGCCCGAGGAGGCCCCCACGAGACTCCAAAGAGGCCCCTAAGAGTCCCCAGGAGGCCCCAGAAAACGATATGAGATGCTTCAAGGGGCCCCGCAGACGCCCCGAGGAGGCCCCCCTAAGAGGCCCCAGGGTATTCAAAGAGGCCACCCAGGCGTCCGTAACCATTGTGACTCAAGCCGTTTGTTCTCATCCCCAGCGTAGGTCCTCAGCTTTCTTGCCCCATCGGAGCACTTCAGTTTTCGTAGTCCGCCATGCGTTTTTCCGTGGGTTCGGCTCACGTCGGCCCACGTTCGGCCCCTTGCGATCCTGTAGCAATGACCTTCAGTCTTGTCACCATGCTCTTTTTTGCCACGGCGGCCATCTTGATGCGTCTCGGATCCAAAGGTAACTCAGCGGCCGCTAGCTTGGTGATCTGGTGTCAGACGTTGTCTCTTGCAGCCGTGTAGGGCAGTGTCGTGCGTGGTGGTATGAATGGCCAGACCGATTTGTCATTTTCTGCAGCTCTCGGTTGCTTGTCTCTGCTGCATGGTGCTGGTAGCTTCTGCATTACGAAAGCTTTGGCGCATCCTTTGGCAGGAGTGTGTTCTGCTATTTGGGGGTCACATGCTGTAGTGGTGCTTCTCATGGACATCATTGTCTTGCACAAGTTCCCGAATGACGTTGCGTTGAGCGAAATGTGCTGTAACGTCGCAGGGATCCTGGTCTGTTCGACGTGCAGCCGCGAGCCGGAGGCCGTCCCGATAAGGCAGAGCAGCGACGACGAGGTGGGGGGAAACGTCGCCCGGGCGATGCTGGGTGTTCTGCGGAGTCAGAGATGAGGGCTTTCCCGCATCAGGTGTCCATGCGGCGGAATTCTTTAAGCCGCTCCGATGTCTGATGCGCTGCAGATAGAGGTTGCGGGAGGAGGAGGAGAGGAGGAGGAGGAGGAGGAGGAGGAGGAGGAGGAGGAGGAGGAGAAGGATGTGGTGGTGGTGGTGAAATACGGTGCCGTGGGGTGGGGGGGCGTGGAGGGTGGGCGGTCGCCCTTCCATCCAACTTTTGTGCATAGTTGTAAGTTCCAATCACGATCGTATTGGCATCATCCCATCCGCTCGCACGGCCATCGCGGCCCCCATTGGTGGGCTCCTCAGCGCTCCTCCTTCTTCTCTTGTTGGCATGTTCCTCCTGCTCCATCCTTCTCTCTCCTCTCAAACCTGCCCCTCGACCACTTTGCAAGACAGCTCACTGCCGAGACAAAGTCTTTGAATTCGACAGCTTGGGCAGTTGCGTGCTGGCCAGCCGATTTCCCGCAACCTACGCGGCGAGAGCGCGAAGAGTCGGGACGTTGCGCCGGCGAAGGGCCAGCCAGGGCCAGCTGGACATGCTTCTTTTTTTGCTTTCCTCTTCGTCGCTCCTGCGCCCTCGCTCATCCCCGCCTCCTCCTCCTCCGCCAATTGCCACCCCAAAGCACCTCGTCCCCTCTCCTCCCCGGACCCCGCAGAGGCGCGCAGCGCAATGCCCTTGCGAATTCAAGGGTGCGTGTGACGTGCAGTCAGACTGTCAGGACTCGAGCCTTCCCTGGCAGACAGCACGTGGTGGCGTAGCCAGCTGGCCGACGCTGCCGCCCCGCAGTGGTGCCATTCTGAGATCCGCCTGCTGCTGATGCGCGCGCGTTGTTCGCCCACGAGAGGGCAACCCGAGCGCAGCCCGAGCGCCAGGGGCTGATGGGTCGGAGGCCCTCGCTCCCAAGATGCATCTAACGTGGCCAGGCATGCGGCGCTCCGCCGTGGGGAGCCATGCCACGTATGGGTTCACGCCCTGCTCCCCTCCGTGCTCTCCCGACGGCCATGAGGACGAAAGGCCGGGGTAGGCCACAGGACGAGCTCGGTCAGACTGCTGGCAGTGCGCTCGTCTCGTTGCCTGGGCCATGTCAAAGGGAATCTCGACACGTGTTGCGTACGGGCTGGTCTGTCGCTGACTGCATTTGGACATGTTTTCAATGTGTCCCGCGTCCCCCATGTACGGCGACCGCTTGCGATCGTTCTTTCCTTTCTTCCATCCGCACTCTCCCATCCCCCATCTTCCTCTCCAGTTCAGGCCCACCAGTTTCGAGCCTCCAAAAAGGAAGAGGCCCCCCAGGAGGCCCCCCAAAAGGTCCGAAGAGAACCCAAAGACGCTCCCAAGGCGTGTTCAAGAGGCTCCCTAGAGGCCGCCAGGAAGCCACATGTGTTCGTAAACTTGAAGGAGTACATCTTTCTCCTTCCGATGGGTCTCTGAGGCCTGAGGCCCGTCCAATTCTGGTCCCCATCCTCCTCATCATCCACCTTGTGCCGCTTCTCCTCGTGCGAGCTCTCCCTGAGGCGAGCGGCTCAAGCTTTGGGTGCCCCCCCCGGCTTTCCCAGACCTTCCTTTCCCACATGGCCGCGAGGCCGAAACCAATCCTCGAAACGCCCAGAGGCGGGACTCCAAGAAACACCCAGAGGCTCTGACAGCCCCCACCAGGGAGCTTCAACAAGTTTCCCGAAGGCCGGTTCCGATCTCTCCTCACGTCGAAAACGCTCTTCAAGGTGTGTATTCGATTTGATGTTCCTGGGGGCCTCTCTGGGAACATTCGACCGACGGCACGACGACTTTGATAATGATACTGATGACGTTGATGTTGGCCATGTTGCTGATACTGGTGGTGAATACGATGATGTGTATGATGGTGATGATGCTGACGATGATTTATGGTGGGTGGTACTGGTGCTAATGGTGGCAAAGATGCTGATGATGATGATCATGCTGATGATGGTGATGATGATGATGATGATGATGACGATGTCGATGACGACGATAGCAGTGATGATTACGATTGCGATGCAGATGACGGCGACGACGACAACCACGACGACGACGTTGATTATAGTGGCGATGCTGCTGCCGATGCTGCTGCTGATGATGATGACGATGATGCGAATGATGCAGATGCTGATGCTGATGCTGATGCTGATGCTGCTGCTGATGATGATGCTGATGCTGCTGATGCTGATGCTGATGCTGCTGCTGCTGATGCTGATGAACATGATGACGCTGCTGCTGATGATGATGCTGACGATGATGATGATGCTGATGATGATGATGATGCTGATGATGCTGATGATGCGGCTGCTGATGATGCTGCTGCTGCTGATGATGATGAGGATGCTGCTGCTGATGATGACTATGATGCTGCTGCTGCTGATGATGATAGTCTGAGGTGGAAGCCCTTCGGGGAACACGTGGGGAAGGACGAGGATGAGGAGTTTGAGGAAAACGGGGGATGAGGAGAAGGAGGAGGAGATCTCTTGAGAGCTTCTTGGGTCATTCTTAGTGCCTCCTGGAAGCTTCCTGGGGGCCTCTTGGAGGCCTTTTCGGGGCGTCAGTGCAATTGGAGGGTCCCGACGTGGTCTGGTGGCCTGGTGGTCTGGTAGTCTGGTGGTCTGGTGGTCCGCCAGACCACCACACCTGGTCGGGTGGTCTGGTGGTCTGTCGGACCAGAACTTGGCGATATCGATAATTGCCTTCAGAAGCGAAATAACTGTTTCGGGCACATGTTGGATGAACATGCCGCCATGCTGCAGAAACATGACGATGTGCTCTTTGACCGTAAGGCCCGTATGCATGATATTCGGAAGGAGCTGTCTCTTGCTCAGCGGTCCCTCCCGCCGTTTATCCCAACGATCGCACGTTCAAGTGCGACGTTGATACCACTATCCTCCAGGTCACTGCTTCGGAGCTGGTCCAGAGGGATAACGCCAAGTAGTCCCTGGAAGCGTGGCCCAAATCGGCTGTTTTCGAGGGAGCGTTCAAGAAGGTTGAGTCCGCCGAACAACAGTCCAAGATTTTCACTGTGCAGTTCTCTGGGCCCATTGCGGTGGCGTGCACGATTGTCCAGCAAGCTTTGGGCGCTCAAAGCTAAGAAAGGCTGGGCCAGGTTCTTGGTGCCCTCGGTGGAGCTTCCTTCTACGCAGCTGCACGTTGGTCTCGACAAGTCTCACCCCCAGATCCGTGTGGAGATTCAAGGCAAGAGTTGTGCGAACAACTTGCGGGGCGAGTTTGGCGACGAGCAGTTTCTCTTTGATTATAGCAACGGTTGGCTTTCGGAAAGCTGGACGTCCCTGCTTCGACTGGCTCCCAGTGCAGGCAGGAAACCGACGGTGGTCTGCTAGAGTGAGAGGGGCCTGGTGGAAACAAAACAGTTATCCAGACAGCAGATCTTGGGCCAATCACCTCCACCGACGTCCAGCCTGAGTGGTGGTTTTGACAACTTCACCCACCTACAGCACAGTGCGCTCCTGGGGTCTCGGTCACCAAGGGTGTTTTCCAGTTCGGCACGTCGGATGTTGGCTTCCAGTATGTGGAATGTGAGGGCTTTGCTCAGATGGCGTGGAATTGCGGCGTGGGAAAAGGCAGATTATTTTAGATAGTGCGAAGTGGGTCGCGCCTTGATGGCCGTCCAGGAAGCGCACCACACCAGGATCATATCAAAGCTTGTTTTCCAGCGAGTCGCGGTGCTCTGCAGTACCATGTCGCGTGACTCTTCGCTCGCTAATGCTGCAATGGCGACAGCATTGCCTCTTTCTGACGAGGCTGTGAGGCCCGCAAGAGGGATTATTTTGGCCAGTGGCAGGGCGTTCAAAGCCACAGTGAATACGGACAAGGTCGATCTGCGCTATTACAACATCCACAACCGCGACATATCTCGCAGACAGGGCGCGCACATCCTCCGCAGTCTTCGGCCAGGTACCGAGTGGGCACAGCAGGATTCAAGGAGCTGTCTCCTGATCGTGTCGGGGGACATGAACTTTGCCTCCTGCAGCAAACTCGACCTACTTCAACAACAAAGGAAGAGTTCGCTCGGCAAACGCAACAACTCCTGCTGCTACGCTTCCAAGTGGAAGGAGGTTCTGGACTCGCTGGTGGATCTCTCGACGGACAACTTGGCACATTTATGAAAGGATACAGGCAATGTTTCGTCATTGGATCGCGTCTTGACGTCGCTCCCGCCTGGCTGGTGTCAACTTTTTCATGGTGCTTGTAATGTCGGCAGATTGACGCTAGTGGTATAATTTTAATATCAGTGCAACCCGAACCACAACTGTGACCAGGACCAGTCCTGGGAACGGTTTTGGTTTGGGTCGATGGGGATTGATTTAATTTCAATATCATCTACCCAACAGAACCGCAACTGTGACCAGGACCGGTCACGTTTCTGGTGTGGGTCGATCGGCGCCGGACCCATAAATGCGACCAAGACCGGTTCTGGGCACTGCTCTGAATTGGTCGACTTGCGTGGAGTACCAGAAGAGTCTCGACGCAACCCGAACCACAAGTGTGACCAGGACTAGTCCTGGTCACGGCTTTGGTCTGGGTCGATTGTTTTGTTACTGTTGCAATATCATGAATGCAACCCGACCCGCAATTGTCAACAGGATTGTTTCGTGTCACGGGTGTGGATTGGGTCGGCGAACATCACTATGATCAAAACAGTAAACGTGCAACCCGTATGACAGTTGTGACCAGGACTGGTTCTGGTTACGGTTCTGGTTTGGGTCGTAGCAATATCAATTTTGTAACGACATCGTTGCAAACCGAACGGGAGCTATATTGGGGACTCGTCTTGGTTACGGTTTTGATTTCGGACGCTTGGTATAAGTAGTATGATCATGCTTTCAATGCAACACGAACCGCAACTGTGACCAAGACAGGTCCTGGTCACGGTTTTAGTCTGGCCGCATTATTTCGGACACATTTGGATCATGCGACACGACTTAGACAACAAACAATGTAGGTCACAATCACAGATGTGGTTCGGCATTATTACGCTTCCGACCAGATCCAAACCAACACCAAGACCAGTCACAGTCATAGTCATAGCGGTATTAAGCATACTGATCAGACGACCTACTGAATTGAATGCACGAGTACCAGTTCTGGTCACAGGTCGCCCTTGGATTCGCAAAGTTCGAATACTGTGTACCCAACCAAAACCATAGTCACAATTGGAGCAGGAGGAGGAGGAGGAGGAGGAGGAGGAGGAGGAGGAGGAGGAGGGAGAGAAGGAGGAGTGAGGAGGAGGAGGAGGAGGAGGAGGAGGAGGAGGAGGAGCGGAGGGAGGAGGAGGAGGAGGAGGAGGAGGAGGAGGATGAGGAGCGAGGAGAAGGAGGAGCAGGAGGAGGAGGAGGAGGAGGAGGAGGAGGAGGAGGAGGAGGAGAGAAGGGGGAGGAGGAGGAGGAGGAGGAGGAGGAGGAGGAGGAACGAAGAGGACGGGAGGAGGAGCGAAGAGGAGAGGAGGAGGAGGAGGAGGGGGCGGAGGAGTAGAGAGGAGTGAGGAGAGGAGGAAGAGGGAGGAGGAGGAGGAGGAGGGAGGAGGAGGAGGAGGAGGAGAGGAGGAGGAGGAGGAGGAGGAGGAGGAGGAGGAGGAGGAGGAGGAGGAGGAGGAGGAGGAGGAGGAGGAGGAGGAGGAGCGAGGAGGAGGAGGAGGAGGAGGAGGAGGAGGAGGAGGAGGAGGAGGAGGAGGAGGAGGAGGAGGAGGAGGAGGAGGAGTGGAGGGTGAGGAGGAGGGAGAACAGGAGGAGAAGGAGGATAAGTCCAGCGACCTGGAAGTCCAGCGAGCGGGTCAGAGGCTCCGACCCTGGCCCGGGACAGTCGCGAGCGCCAGCGAGAAGTCTGGAGAGGCCCCGTTTCGTCCTCCTACCAGCAGCTCCGTCGTGGAAGCCCTGCTGCTCGCGTTCGCTCCTCTCATCTTACCTTTGCCCCTCTCTCTTCGGCTGCCACTCTTCACCGCTCTCCAGCTCCCCCCGCGCACCCTCGCCTCCCCCTCTGCAGCCTCTGCCACCGCTCCCTCAGCCCCCACTCCTGGTCCTCCCCCCTTGTGTCATCCCCACCGGGCCCAGCCGCCTGCTTCTCCCCCCCACCTCCGTCACGCTCCGCTTTGTCCGAGGCGTGCGCCACAGGGGCGCAGCCGTGGGACCCGGGTCGCCTTCGCCCGCCCCGGAACCAATGCAGATGATGCGCGCCGCCGCTGCTGCCGTGCTCATGGCGCTGGCAGCAAGTGGCTTGGACACCCAGGCTGGGGACCCCTAACCTCGAGCCTCGATCCTCGAACCTCGAACTTCGAAACTCGATCCTCGAGCCTCGAGCCTCTGACCTCGATCCCCCCATGCCTCCCAGTCGGGGTCCGAGAAGAGTCGGAGGATCGCGCTTCATCGCCGGTGCATATGCGGCTCGATGTGGGGCCCGAGTGTCTCCACGCCAATGTCGCCAACATCGCCGATGCATCGGCGATGTATCGGCGATGCGACTCGATCCCCCGACCCCACCTACTCGGACTCCGCTTGAGATACCTTCAGTCCCGCAGCCTCGAATCTCGAAGCTCGAAGTGAACGCCCCCTTCCGAGCCCCGCTTCCAGGGGACATGACATCCCATCACCGCTGCCGCAAGGCCGAGTGGGGAAGGTTGTGGGGCAGACCAGAGGCCCAAGTCTTCTGGTCCTGCCGTCCCCGAGCAGGCGACCTCCTCGATGAAGTCGGACGAGACCGGGCCGAGCCGACCCGTGTCCAAGGTAATCCAGCTGCCGGCGGCAAGTCCCGCCACCGTGCCAGCCCAGCGTTCTGGGTGGCGACTGTTCGAGGGGGCACGAGAGGCCGTCACGTGTGACACCTCGTGTCCCCAGACTTGAGAGCCGTGATGAGGATGATGAGGATTGAGGATGATGAGGACAAGGATGATGAGGACAAGGATGATGACGAGGAGGAGCAGGAGCAGGAGCAGGAGGAGGAGGAGGATGAGGAGGATGAGGAGGAGGATGAGGAGGAGGAACAGGAGGAGGAGGAAGAGGAAGAGGAGGAGGAGGAGGAGGAGGAGGAGGAGGAGGAGGAGGAGGTCTGTCACATTTGACGCCTTTCGTCTTCACTTCTTGAGGAGCTCTCGTGGACCTCATTTGAACCGTCTTGTTGCTGTTTTGGCTTCCTGTGTGGCAGTCTCGGGGGTCCCTTGGGGCCGTCTTGGGGCCCTCTTGGGCCGTCTTGGGGCTCTCGTGGTCCGTCGTGGGGCCTCATGGCCGTATGACGCGGACACGTCGGTTTATACGAGATGTCGTGGCCTCGCAAGCGCGGATCCAGTTTTTGATCGAGGGATCGTGGCCTCGGGATTAGGGGGGATGCACGCGAGGGTCTGCTACTAAGGTGGTGGGGGCCCCGTACGAGAAGACAGTAACCCCACCAGTCAGCACTTGGGAATTCTACCACGCCTCAACGTGCCAGGGGACACGGTGGCGGATCAACCTGCTGAAGGACATGCTGAAGCAGCTCGAGACCGAGGCGGAGACAGACGAGGAAATCTACGATCTTCAGGCCTGCGGCCCACGTTGCCGACCCCCTAGGCTTACAGCCCCAGGAGGGACCCAGTCACTGGGCCCTTGGCTTCCCCCGCTGCACTGCTCGGCCGTTCGCTACACGGAGAGGACTGCTGGAAGCCGTCTTGGAGCCGTCCTTTGCGAGCCTCGAGGCCCTCTGGGCCTGTCCTGGAGCCTCCTGCTGATCTTCATCACGACAGCATCAGAAGGACAAAGGACCTCTCCGAGGCCACAAGAGCATCCTTGCCTCTCGGCCCACCCTGGCCCGCATCGGTGGGCCTTGGGCTTCTACCTTCGGCTTCGGCTTGAGCGTCCACGGGCCCTGCATCTCTGCCGCGCATCCTCACGATCCTCACCGCCCACCAGACCACCCCAACCCTACCCGAAGGCCCCAATTCGCCCTCCATGCCCAGTGGGGGGGGCGTCGGGGAGCACGGAACAAAACACATGTGGAACCCGCGTCCCCCCCCTAACCCGAAAAATTTGGGTCTTCGGCTTCGGTTGGGGTGGCCTGGTTAGCTGGTCGCCAGCCGCGCTGCAGCCTGAGACCACACGGGGGCCCGGGCTTCGGCTCCGAAGCGAGCCGAGCGCGCTCTCGATGCTTCCCCCCGGCGCTCGGGGCCGTGCCCGAGGCCCGCGCGCTGTTTGGGGGGCCCGGGCACCCGCGCGGCCTCTGAGCGCCCGCACGGTCGAAGAAAGAGCGTCTGCCTCGAGGGCTGCTTCCTCGAGAACGGGCGCGTCTGCTCTTCGGAGCGGGCTCCCGCTTCTCGGGAGGGTCTTCTGGCATCCTGGGCTGGCCGAGCCGCTCGCGCCCCTTCTGCTTGCGCGCGCCACTCCCAGGGACGGCTCGAGCTACAGCCGGCACCGGGGTCAAGAGGCTGATGTTCTTTGCCAGCGTTCTTGTGATCGTGCTTCTGCGGCCACTTGCGAAGCCTACTCCCTGCGGGTCTAGTCGACGCTGGAATGCCGCATACCCCTGCTGGGGTTCGCCTGGCCACAGGCATCCGTCGAGTTCTGAACCACGGTTGCCTTTTCATGAACTTCGACCTGCAGGGGTAGTGTGAAGATGTGGTTGCCCAATGTTTCGGTTGTGCGGGCAGGCTTAGCATCTCGATCCCAGAGTCCCCATAGAGACAGCTACACGCCTGGGGCGCCCCCCGCAGAGGGGGGCCCTGGCGGATAAGATGGCATGCTGGTGCGAGACGAACGAGAAGGAGAAGACGAAGTCGATCAAGGCCGGGGGGCAGCAGAAACTCAGACGTCATAGCTCGGCTTCGCGTAAGAGCGACCCTTCGCCGGAGTGGTCTTCGGTGTGCGGCTTTCGAGGGGCGCGGGGGGGGATCCAAGAACGTAGGCTGCTACTGTCGCATTACATGCCCCGCTCGGCTAGCTGATCACCAACAACCGCTTTTGCCTAGGGTCACTCTTGCCTGTAGCTGAATAGCACAGCTGGCTCAGAAATTGATTGAAGTCAGAAGATTGTCTTAAACGTGCTTACATTAGTTTCGGAACAGCAGTCCAGAAGCGACCGCCAGGCAACCCACATTCGGAAGTTTCCGGAATCTGCACATGAGCATGCGCAGTAATTCGCTGCTCTGCCGCTGCTTTTCTGTGCCAGTTCTCCTTTCTCCGCATGTTTCTCTTTGTGCGTCCATCCGTGCCTACCATTTTCTTCCACGAGGAGGCCGAGGCGCGCATCGCGCAGCTCGAGACGAAGATCGAGGAGGACACCGCCCTGAGTGCCAAGCTGGAGTCCGAGATGCGCGAGCTCGAGGAGGAGGTAGCCAAGAACCAGGGGGCCTTGGACAAGGCTGGTTCCCGGGAGGGGAGGGTGGGGTGGGTGGGGCGACAGGGGAAGAAGGCCGGGAACGTTTTGGCCATCGTGTCCCGCCGCCACCGCGCTTCGACGCGACACGCGAGTCACGCCCCAGTTTCCCCAAGCGTCAACGCTTCGAGCCTCTCCTGCCCTACTGACCCTCGAAGCAGAGCGATACGCTATCCGCTTCAAGGCATAGCGTGTCTTCAGGGCCGTCGCCGCGCACGCCAGGTAAAAGTTCCCGACAGTAGGGGGGAGGGATGGGCTGGGGCAGGAAGGGAGGAGGAGGACCAGTGTAAGCACTAGACTTATCAACGATATTGGGATACACCCTCCTTCCGAGCTCCCCCTTCATGGGATCCTACGAGGGTTCATGTCCACTGATGGAAAGCCGCGGTGGGAGACAGCCGTGTGAAACTCATGAAACGTGCCAAAGCACCACTTTCAGGATTTCAACGCCACGAGTCAAGATGCGTCAGCCAACCTGATTGTTGAATTCGTCCATGTGATTGTTGCGTTTTGACGACCCTGTACTAAGCAACGTATTAGTTGCGCCCCAACAGTCCAGAGTAGTTCCCAAACACAAATTCTGGTATGTTAGTCATGAGAACCCATGAAACTGTTTCAAAAGTATGTGTTGAAACGAATGTGCGCGCGCTCAGGCGAGAGCCACTTTTTGAAAACGAGCTGCCCTCGATCCATGGAGCTCTTGAAAAGGTTTGAAACGAATGTGCGCGGTGCTCACGCAAGAAAAAGATGTTTAAACGAACCGCCCTCAATCCGTGAAGCGCTTGCAAGTTTTTGAAATC